GGCTGTATTGTACTCGTAAAGAGTTATACTACAACGTACAGTAAATGAAAATTTCATTACTGACTGACTACCACTGAGTTAATGTACCCTTTTCTTGAAACAAAACTAAATTAATTATTGAAAATTAACAAAACGCTGAAATCGACGGTTTGTTTTTTCGATTTTTGAGCAAACTAATGAACGGATTTTAATGTAGTTTGTCTGATATCATAGGTATTTTTAATACTTGAAAAAAATGATAAAACTTTTTTCAATAGCATCAACGGTTCAACAGTTATGCACAAAAAACGGGCTTTCGCACTCTCTTTAATTATTTATAAATAATTGTTTATAAACAATGTTCCACAGCCGGAAATCGACATCCTTCCGAACAACTTCCAATAATCTTTTACCATCATATTTTCAGTGCCCGAAACAGGCCTTTTAAAGTGTAATCCGACTGGACTCAAAATAGGCTTCAGCCCGGTTTCAGGTACAAACCAATATTTATCATGGGCCAAAATAACATGTGACAAAAAATCACAGATATTTGGAACAGGTACGAGCTTGGAACAGTCACACATGGAACCTGTGACTGAAAAATACTGGTTTGTGTCATCCCTACTTGGCAYCTGTTGTCATKGTCACTMTTGCTGTATTGCATATAAGACAGAGACAATTATTTAGTGTTATAGCCTCGATCTTACTTTTTTCGTGCATATAAGGCAAAGTTGATGAAATTACTTTACGGCTTTTGTYATAATCACTCTTGTTGTATTCGCGAATATTGGAAAGAAAAAGCTTGAAAAAAAGACCTTTTCTAGACTATCTGTCTAGAAAGTTTTCTAGGTAATCTGTCAACGTTAAAGTGGTCCTAATTGCATGATGTCATCTTCAAATATAATTAGTAATCGAATTTATTAAAATTAAATTCCAAAATAGATATAAAATTAGCATTAAGCAAAAAAACACACACGCTAATCTTTCGAATTATCGCCCCCTTTACAAATTGCATTATGAATGTGTTCAATGTGTGAGTCAGCTGATTTCATTCAAATTGAAATCACATCAAAACAGCAAAATAGTAGCGTTCAGTACGTACAAGGAATTAATATACAGTTTGAACCTACTCTGTAAACAAAGCAATCGACTCCACGTGTAGAATCTGCCCCCTCTTTGCCCATTAAATATGAGTGCCAAACGCCAACGTTGTTTACAAACAAGTGAAAATCGATAATTCTGAGAAAAGGGACAAACGTAAACAAGCACCAAACAGAACTTACGTTAGATTTCGGTCACAATTCTCGTGTTATTAGACGAGACTGAACAAGGAAGCCTGAAATACTTACCGTAAACCTTGAAATTGGTCGAATATCTCGTTATAAATAGGTTATATACTGGTTAGGGCACCATAATGAGTCTGCAAAAATCGGCAATTTGTCCACTACCACTCTAATGTCAGTCTGCAAGAATGGTTGCACAATGTTCAGCACGATATTAGAAACCACGCAAACAGAAAACCAGAAGAAAAGGCTCTGATATTTAGGGAAAAACTGGCAAAATACCAGATAGCACGGAAGTTGCAGAAAGGTCACATGGACTTCGTCAACTGACGTTCATCCAATGATCTTCGAGTGGCTGCCCGCTGCACCAATCAGCGTCGAGATGTATGTTTTGATCAAAATGGCAACCAAAACATCAATATCGAAGTCTATTTTGTTGGTAAACTTCACTTACGAATAAAAACACACAATACATTTGCGGAAATACGCGAGCTGGCACTGTAAACAACGTGTGGGTACCACAATTTCTTATGTTATTCAGTTTATCACTCCGAAAAACCTATTATTAGTCTGACGTCACTCACAGCTAAAGCAGATAAGCCATTGTTTTAGTATGGTGACCTTGATCGGTTCAACCACAAGGTTCAGAATTCAGAAATTCAAATAAAAGTGTAAATATCACATGAAGTTTACTCGTGGATTACTTCCATGCAGGGTTGTCGTCTCTTCGCATATTATTGGCCTTCTTCTTCCTTCAAGCCAACTCATTACTATCAAGATCTGGATATTTTAACAAATAATCTTGTTCTCTGATTGATGCTTTTTACTGGGAAATTTTTGCAAAGCATTCAAAATATCTGTTTGCATTATGTATAACAACCAAAATGTTCTTTTACCAGAGTCGCGTTTTCGTTGTCTATGTCTATTCACGATACAATGAATACGAGGTAGGATCTTGCGTCGATTTGCGTGACGTCAGTGGAAATCACTGCCTGGCGTGCTTTTTTCCTGTCTGCTAAATGTGATTAAATATAGCTTATTTAGTCTTTGTCACATTTAATTATTTTTTATAAATACTCTTTATAATCACAAGATGATTTGCAGCAGATTTTAGACTTGAAAATTAAAAGTAACGAAAATGTATTTATTTTGCACACTACCACAATTGCCAGTTGTACAATAAAGTATAGCGTTAGCTGAAAATGTATCCTTGCAGAAATAGTACATTACGATTCACGAGACGGAAGTTCAAACAATGACCCAATGTTACTTTCCTATTGCTGCAAACCATATCCTCATATAACTTTCCATTTTTAAACTATTGCGTTTTGAATTCAGTGAAAATTTGTCTAGGTTACATGCATTTTAAATGGGAGCAGCTGTTCACTTTACCAAAGTGGTAACCAGCGACGTCATGTGCGCACGAAAATCGAGTTTTTTCGACAGATTAATATCCTACCTTTTATTCATTGTATCAAATGATGTCTATTGGCGGTTTAATCACCAGCCCGCATCGCTGGCGGCGGGACTGAATGCGGATTGCCGAAATCGCGAGAGTTACCAATCTAAATAGTTTGATAGTCTGTGGTCATAAAAGTTTGATGAGAGACGTTTGCTTTGCTTAACGTAACCTCAAACTAACTTGCGCATGTCATTTACATTATGCCCACAGAACATACCCCCTGGGGGGATATTTTGTGATTATGTCCTAGTTATGGTTTCAAGTCGATCACCTGATAAATTACCATTATAATCTCAAATTAACGACTACTTAACTTTAACAAAAATATTATAATCAGAGACAAGTACTTGTCTCTGTAGTAATTAATTTAAAAACCACCCTCCGATATCAGGCGTAATTTCGTAATGTATATAAAACAGGCTTGTAGTCAAGAGAATGCGGTAATGAGATAGCGTGTGCTATTATGGTAATTTCCTAGTTGATCAGGCCTTGTTTGAAGTTAACAATTTGCTCATCTTACAGATGAGCGTTTACTAACCTTCTCTAACTCTTCTTAGTGGTGTTTCTTTTGGAAATGTTTTCGGTCACTTTGTAATCATTCCAAATCAAAATTAATTCCTATGTTTCATTCATTTATTGTCTTTATTTATCAATTAAAATACGTTTCGGTGTATTTTTCCACCATCATCAGTTTTTACGTGTAGCGTTGTTGCTCCTTTAAGCCTTGGCATACATTTGGAGTATTAATTTTGTCCAATTTGGAAAAATTAAATTTGTAAAAATGGACAAAATTAATACTCCAAATGTATGCCAAGGCTTAAAGCAGCAACAACGCTACACGTAAAAACTGATGATGGTGGAAAAATACACCGAAACGTATTTTAGTTGATAAATAAAGACAATAAATGACTGAAACCCAGGAATTAATTTTGATTTGGAATTGAAACACAGTCAGGAAAGTATATACAAATTTGTAATCATTGCAATTTTCGGTAAGGCCTCCGTGATGAAAAACCGCATTTCTGTTAGAAATACCACTAAGAAAAGACGTTGGAAGAGAAATTCTGATAAACCAGAAGATTACAGACATTTCTTTGCTTGAAGCTTCCTTTTTGTTGAAAAGTGTGTAAACTTAGATTGTTGTAAACCTTGCTTGCTTTGTTTGTTCATTTTTGCAATTGCTTTCTGGCCCACAAAGAAATTAGTCCTTTAGCAAAATAGTTGTCACGTAGGGTATTGGCTATCAGAATGCCCCGATTTATCACCTACTGATTCTAGTTGGGACTCAATTTAACCGTATCGATCTCTCGTACAAACTTTATTTTAACTTTTTTTGAAATTGCTTGATTTTTCAGTTAATTAAAACGTTATTATTAAATTGAACATAAAATTTAAGTTTTTCTCGTCAAACATGATGAGAAATCATAATGCGTGAGGTGGTCTTTTAACATTTGAATCAGACTCAATCGCGGTCGGAAAAACAGCTAAAAAAGGCAGGAGAAACCGCTAAATCTATCATTAGGCGCGAGTTTTTACTTTTTTTAGTTTAGTTTATAAAAACGGCGAGAAATGCATTATACGTGAGTAGATGTTTCAATATTTGAATCAGACTTAATCGCGCTCAGGAAAACAACTCAAAAAGCCGGAGAACCCATATCGATCTCTGTATTAAAAGACTTTCCTTCTTTTCGAATAAAGCTCACAACAAAATTTTTTTATACCTACTTACAATCCTGATTTTTTTCACATATATATTTAAATACATACTTCAGAAAAATCCTTAGTTCAGGTATTTAATATAAAGTGTTTTTATTTTAGATTACCCGAGATTATTTGCTATAATCTAATCTCAGGTCAATAAATTGTTCCAATCTATTAAAGAATAAGTTTAACAACCCTTGGTAATATTTAGATTTTCTTAGACCTCGTGAATTCTACTCACTGTTTAAGCAAATGGTACGAATGCTTATTTATATTAATAAATACATGCAGTAGTCATAATGGTATGTTTTCCATGTTTTTTCTAATCAATTTTTCTATTGTTCTCATTCTGTGCTAAACATTTTAAGACAGGAAGTGACATGTTGAATGTTTTGTGACGTCTTAGTACGTCGTTTATGGATGTCATTTTACAGTGAGACATTGCCGTTAAAAGCACGTCGCTATGACATCCCGAAATTGGCAAATTTTACGTCGTTTTTGCGTGTTTATTACGTTGGGCGGGTTGCATTTAAATTAAATACTCACACAAGATTTTCTATAGACGAATTCATGTTCAAGACAATGGATTTTCAAATTCCCATCTGGTTTTTTGTCAATTTTTGCTCAGGAACAACAGCAATTAGATTGGTTATTCTATTCAACAATTCATATGAGCAACAGTACTTAAACTTTAAAAAAATGATCTTCTGACTTTGGGCTGAACGGAAAACGTAACATATTTGAAATATGGGCATTTATTGTTGCATGACGGAGCTCGCTTAATTTATCTCCCAATGTAAATGTTTCTCAATTGATTTCACTTGATTCCTTTCCGGAATTGCTATTGTTTTTAGGTGTATGCAGAGTGTTTTTTGACATATAAACTAATATTTAAAGGTAATTTTTTGGTTAAACCATGGACAAAAAACCTTGCTGCTTCAGAATTCTTTTATTTATTAAGTCCCATTATTATCCATCCCAACATTCAAATTTGCCTTACTCAGCTGGAACAAGCAGATAAAGGTCTGAGTCGAACTAAATAAATTCAAATCAGAAAAGATCGTTTAAAAATTTCGTTAAGATACTGTTAAAATATGTAATTTTTTGCTAAGTTTCTTCGAATTAGTGATCAGTAAATCGCCAATGTGAATACCCTGGTTTAAAAGTTTTGGAGAAACTTCGATGTAAACACACGACTGGGTAGTATGCGGCCTAATTGCCTTCTTTATGTGAGTTTTCGGTACATATTCCGCTGTTTTGGGTCGCTGTTTGGGTTTTCCCATTTTACTTACGACCAACGTACTAGAACTCAGATAACTCGGACTAACACCTTGGCTGCCATGTTTTGCGTTCTGATTCCTCATGTTTTGTTCTTTGTTCCTACTGGAGACTTCCCGTAACCATTGACAAAACACTTTTTCGTTTTGCTGCAATTTCAAAGCCCGGTACTCTTCAATTAACTTTTGCCTTGAAAGTTGCTTTTGTCTCATCATTTCCACGTATCTGTTTCTATTTTTTATTTGGCGCGATGTTAATCCATATTCGGATCGGTACCCGTTGTATTTAGGCAAATTACGATCACTGCTTGAGAGTTTGATATCGTCGCAGCATTTCCGTTGGTGGAGTTGAAGCGGAGGAAGATTCACCTAATAGAATGACGAATGAGAAGAAATAGTTGGCTATTTACGTTTAGTGATCTTGATGGCTTACCGGAGGCTTTTCATGAATGGCGAGTTTTTTTATTGAGATGGATAACTGTGTATCAATTCTTTCTATGCAATGTTCCTTACAGTGCACTTCTTCCAGTCTGGCAGCTCTGTGGGAAAGTTTTCTTTTTTTGGAACGTTTTTTCGTTTTTACTGGGGTTTCTAGTTGTTTTGTAGTGGGTTTTGAATTATCCGCTATTGGCTGTTGTTTTTGAATGCACTGAATTTTCTAAACAAATGGAAAAGTGCAATTCATTGTCTGATAGCTTGGGCTTAGATAGTTACCTGATTATTTTCGATTTGTTCGTCTTCGTCTGATTGAACTAGTTCCTCCACTACTACTGCTTCGTCAATTTCTTCATCAATATCGGATATATCGATCGAGTCATTTATCACTGTATTGTAAGGGTGATTGTTTTCGTCATTTGATCGTTCGTCCATACCTGCAGCTGAATAATTTATATAGACCTTTCCTGACTCCAATGCAAAATTGCGTGTTTAACTTTAGAATTTTTAAAAATTGCTTAAATGCCCAGGCAATTAAATGGTGATTTTCATATCGATTGTGTATGTGTATTAAGTAACTTTCGGTCTTTTGTTATACAGGAATAATTCAATTAATTAACATATTTATTGTTGTATGTAAAATCTAAAATACATTCAGTGGTTTTCAAAAAATATTATTT